GGGGGTGGGGGTGGGGGTGCGGGGAGGAAGAGGAAACGGTGAATCGGGGGAAGAGGAAACAAGAAAACCGAAGAAGAGGAATTGGGGAGTCATGAAACCGAATGGGGATGTAACGTCCCGTTGCCGAAAGGAAGAATCTAGGAGCCGTAGAGGTGGGAGAGGAAGTGAGAATTCGAGTATTCAAAGAAGGGAGTGGAGCTGAACAACTGAAAAATAGGAAGCGAGGGGACAAAAGCTAGGTAGGCGTATTCGTTTTATAAATCACGTGACAGGATGAGTTTTACCTACTTGCAAAGACAAGAGGAGGTGTCACAATCTCGAGATGGAGTAAATGCTGTTGAGCAGAGGAGAGGCGAGGGGTCTTGATGTCGGTGTTAAGCAAGGGAAGAGGCGATGTCGTAGTCATGCAGAGGAGGCAACAAGCACGGGAGTTTGTACGCACTCGATCCCACTGAATGAACTAACGAAAGGGGAGAAGAGGGGCAGCGTCGGTTTCTGGTGGTGATGTCTCTATCTAGCTTATATAAGGAAGCCGTGCCATCTTAGCTTGCAAAGGAAGTTGCGACGGAAGGGAAGCTCCGTGTGCGGGCGCTGCTGGTGTGAAGGAGAAGGTAGATTGTGGATGCAACATTAATTTCTTCTGTCCTGGAAAGAGCCACGTGACCGAAGTCAGGAAGAAGAAAAAGTTGAGCGGGTAGGGCATATAATCGAGGTAAGATATATTAAATTAATGTTATATTAAAACTTAATTAATAATAATAATAATAATAATAATAATAATGATTAAAAAAAAATAACAGTAAGATATTTATTGAATAACAATTTTAGTAGGATTTCATAAATAAAATACTTAAATAGTTTATTAAATTGGTTAAAATTTGAATATGTTTAAGCGTTCTATTGTAGAAGAATCGACGTCAAGAGTGAGCATATCGTCTATCAATAAGATGAGTATTGATGCTCTTATATTATGATGATATTTTGCTTCTTCTAGACCAAATGAATTTATTAGTACCATTATTAGCTATATTAAATTATTACAAACTCATGATTTTGAATTTTGTTGAATCTTTGTTTATATTGTAGGAAGGATATGTGTGCACATCAGTATTGAATAATTTGACTGCTATACAAATAAAAAATGAATATTTTTTTTATTAGAAAGTAATATTTTTATTGAAAATTTGTATATTCATAATTGATTATGATGGAATCACCCCTTGATGGTACTAGTGTGGGAACATTAAACTATTCTGCATATAAATGGAAAATGATATTAATATTAAAGTACCTTAAGTGGTAAAAATTTTTAGATGTTGCTCCTGCGACGGTTGCATAAATATGACATGATATTGATATACATTTTTTGAATAACATGTTAAATATTTATATTGATTTATAAAGAAACTAATTGACACATATATTGTTCTTTTTTCTTGTATTCCTATAATTTAAAAGTATGAGTATTCACTAGCTTGTTCACCTCATTATTAATTTTAAACTAACTTTTCAGATTAATTGTGTGATTAATAATGAGTATTGATATTTATAGAAGACCCGAACAACCAATTACAAAGAACTTTAAATATATTACTTTGAATTAATTTTATTACTGACTCTTTTACTTGTTAATAGCTAGATTATAAAATAAATATAGAAAATAATAACTATCATCGTCTGA